TCTGAGATTGTGTTTCAGCCAAGTTTCCAATGTGTTAACAACGTTTCAGATATCATCACATTTCTTCACAGAAGACCCAACTAAATATACGTATAAACAACTTTACTGCTGTATGACTCCAAATTTATGAACCTTGCTAGGAAAGCTCTTCCAGTACTACACAGGAAGTAAAATTGATATATAGTATATGACTTGAATGTTGTGTCATAAAGTCAAGTATAAACGTGCTGGTTGCTTACGAGTATGTGCTCATATATATATATATATAATATATATATGCTATGTGTAATATGAATATTGGATATGACATCAAACCGTTCTTGAATTTATGATATTGTCTATGGGCAATTCAAGTAAATTACCGATATTGTGTACCAGTTTAAAAATAATCGGTGCCGACAGCACACAAGAACAGTACAAATTTCACATCATAATCCCATGGTCCAGTCCGCATGTTCACAAACGGTGATCGCAAGAAGTTGCACCAGCACATTCCGATATATGGTCCCATTTTTTTTGCACACATCACACTTGATCGGTGGTATATATTCAGGTGAAAAACAAAGGTTATCGAGACTACTTCCAACTGACCTATCCACCTGGACCAAACAGGCACCCCTAGCCAATCAAGTGTTGCGAAAAGGGTGTCATAAATAAGCTACTGAGCATCAAGTGTCACACAATTTGGCGTGCGCTCAGTCAAAAACACGTACAAACCAGTCTAGCTTTACCGACCTAGCAACAACAATATCCAGGGGAGGAAGGGGGTGCTTATCTCAGTCAGGCAGATAGGTAAACTGCTTGGCTAGCCGATCACCTTCGTGGCACCCCCTAGCAGGTCGAGTTCAGCCCGAATCCACTGAAGTGCACCATCATCTCATGGCAGTCGCGTAGAGACTTGGCGTCGCCGAGACGTTCGAACGTACGCGCTGCCTCGGCGAGCATGCCCGCCTTCTGGCTGGGACCGGACAGCATCGTTGCCGGCAGGTGTCGACATGCCATAAGCAGTGCCTTTGCCTTCTCACGGTCTCCCACTCCACACTCTTGCGTCGAATCTTAAATACAATGTGTGGGTGTTTTTACAGCAGAGCATAACTTTATGTTATGTCTTCTAGCAAATAAACGAACTAGGTATAGTCGCGAGCTGACTAACAGAAGAGGAACCCGTTCATGAGTATGTGCTATCCAAATGTATATATAAAGTTCTGTATAACAGAAAAAAAATATGTACAACATGTACAACACTGCTCACCCTGCTCCTGTGTGGCAGGCATGCAGCGCTTGCGCAGGGTTCGATCAAGCAGCAGCTGCGTACGACTCGGACTTGCTCCTGCCATTAGCCGCGCCGTCGCCTCATGCAGAAACACCTGCAAGAGTAAACAACTGAATGGTTAACGAATGGTGTGCAATTGACCAGGCAAGCCTACCTTAATCATAATGTGATGACAGGTTCTTGAATTACAGTAACCCTTTACCACTCAGTGTATGAGCACATACATAAACAGTTATGAATGTCTATTCTGCCTGCATCATCATCTACAAGTTTTTAAACAGCGACTTTGTCTAGTAATCCTTTAAACATATTTCAAAGAGCAAACACCTTCGAGAAGGCGGACTTGATCTCGCTGGCAACCTTCCGCAATGATGATAAGTCATTCTGAAAGGACCGCAGTTGTGCCTGCGTAGCAACTGCTAGCTCCCCTTGGTTGTAGGACGTCTCCTCCTGCCATATGTCTGTGCGAGTGCACAGCAACCAATCGCATACAAGCAGCTGCACTGCCTGTAAAGTACATTGAAACTATTACTTCTATGGTAAAACAAAATGCTACGTCCTACTAGATTGTCATCATGTGAAATCGTTATGAATGAATTATATCTAACCTAATAAAGGAAAGCTTCACTCTAGGAAGTCATCATCGTACAAAAATCATGAAGAATATGTGTGGAAAGTCGGTAGGTCATGATGATGGGCCCCGAAGTAGGGGTTGCCTTGCAGAAGCGTTGCACGTTCAAATGGCAATGCAATGCAACTACAATGCACCACTGCCACGGATGCTTCTCTCGCTCCAAATCACGTCGTCAACGAATTCCAGATTATTGCATAGAAACTTTGTATCTATTATCCGGTATATATCAGCCTCTAGCAATACTCGCAGCACACAAATTCTACTCAATAGTTTGCAAAGTAACGTCTACACACTGCCATGTAATCGAGTTACGATTTAACATTAGAAGGCATACAAAACCAAAGACACATACTGTGGTGATGTCAGGGCCACCTTTATCATGGCTGGTGTAGCTTAGACTGTCAGCAAGCATCTTTCCTGCTGTATTACACTTGTTCAGACTGTTGATGTAGCACTGGCCTTTCTTAGCTGTAAGCACTATGCGTCTAGCCTTGAATGCCATGTGTACACTGCGTGGCAGTGGGTTTCTATATATAACAAAATCAAGGTTAAACACAAAGGGCATATAAGACGCGATACAGCCCGCAAAATACTGCAAAGGTCTTCGCTGAGCACACAAATGTATCAAACGCCCCACTTACATCGTCTCATGCAGGTGTGCAGGCAAGGAGTCCACGATAGGATACAGTCTTTGTGCAGACTCCTCATCGCCCAGCAACCAATATGCAGCCACGCCCAATACTGATGCCCACCACTTGGAAACCTCATCCGAGCCTGTAAAGTTGGCACACGTCAGTCGTTACTTGACTAGAGGCAACGCAACACCATACTCAAAGCAAGCAACATACTGCCACCCTTATTTGAAATGGACCAATCAGCCCGCGTGAGATAACCATACAACACTCTTGAATATTGCTGCTAGGTCAGTCGAGCTGAACTAGTGTACACGTGTTTTCTGCTGGTGGACGCCAAATTGTCAACACTTCATCTTTTTCGCGAAAAATCAGGTCAGCTAGTCACTTTTCACGCTCGTCTTCCACTCACCAGTTGCCTTGAATGCGGAGGAGTTGATCGCGACAGCAGTGTTGCTGGACGCTCCCGCGGCGTCGGAGCACTCACGCAGCAGCTGCACGTATTGCAGCACATCCGCACACTGCGATGAGCTGAAACGCAGCGCCACCTCGTGTTGACATCAGTAAACATGAACCACTGTGCTACATTCATGCGGTTTTACGCACGCAACCGCCTAAATTGCAAACGCTTTTTCGGAAAACAAGCGACACTGCTGAACTTCACATTTCAAATTTTTCTACATCGCAATGCTACCTGATGGGTTCGTTGTCCTTGATTGGCTCTCTGTCTTTCATCCGGCCTGGTTCCAGCACGCTATACAGTGCTTTCTTCAGTAGGTGCTCTCTGAATGCACGCGTCATGTGTGCCAGAGGATCAACTGTAAGTATGCAAAAACCAGAAACTCAATCATTCAGCACCAAATTATTGCTCAATAGATCAGCTCTGTATTACTCTCTGGATACAGAACATGGAACACTGGCTGCAAGATCATTGCTGCCCACTCACACCACATCTACATAAATACACTATGGTGTCGAACTCATAACAACTGACAACGACTACCATGAACTCACAAGCTGCAGGGGCGGTTGCCGGCTGTAGTGATTGGCTTGTTTGCCTGATTTGACGTCACGTACAGAGGCACCAGAATTTGATCTCATTGGAAATGGTGAGATTGACAAAGCTTAGGCAGGGAGAGTTAGACACCTTGGTGTTTATATATAGATGTAGTGTGAGCATGTACACAGCCAGTGAACGTAGTATTCACCGCTGGTATTGCAAGCGCATACCCAAGTTGCCAACGGTGCTGTACATCGAGTCCTTGCCGCTGAAGTCCCATGCTCCACTCACGAAAAAACGATGTCCGGCCGGCTGAAAGAGCCACTGCAGGGAGACAGGGATAGCGGCACCGCTGCTGCTGCACACGTGACGCGCACGGCTCAGGAAGTAGCGCTGCAAATGCACGAAAGAAATAATCCTCACCAATCCAGGGGTAGAAATTAAGTTTTGAACAAGGGAGTGGACTCCCTACCCTCAAAAAGAGAGAGTCCACAGCAAAATGAGGGAGTCCGCAGTCTGAGGTTCAAAATTAAAGATATTAACAATAACGTATGTGCTTATTTTTAAGATTCATGCAGTTGCACGTCTGCCAAATTTTCTTTGGACATTAGCTGAAAAAATACAGTAATTCCGCGAGGCCGTGCTCCGGAACGAACTAGTTAGTATGGCAGAATTTTCCGGAAGTCACACGGACTCCTGCATATGTCAAATCAGGGAGTCCGACAGTAAATCAGGGAGTATTTGACTCCGGACTCCCGTTAATTTCGCACCCTGCCAATCACCACACAACAGCTCCACTTGAAAGCCATATTTCTGCATGTTCCGAGCCTTTCAGAAACAATTAAAATGAATTCCAACAAGTTCATGGCTAGCCTTATAGCTTCATGGCATCTAATAACAAGTGTGCTGAATCTACATGAGGTGATGCAGTAGTCATACGCCCTTTAGATCTGGCACAGGTCTACTACTCCAAAAATCCATTTAAACAATCACCGGTTGTGGTCACTTGGCACGAGTCAGCATACAGTGACCGCACTTCCAATTTTTATTAGATTTTTTCCGGGTCATCCCGCATTAACCCTCGTTGTCGTGAATAACAAACTTACGGCTGCGAATCCAGCCTTGAATGGCAGGCAGTACTTCATGCGCAGGGCGGCTGTGACGAATATCTCGGCCATTGTGTCGTAGGGCAAAGCGTTCCTCGCTGCCTCGGCCATGTTAGCAGCGCAGACGGCCATCGTCATGCCGGTGAGCGCGCCGTCGTTCACGTGACCTGGTAACATTGCAGGAATGACAATAAGTTGGGTTGCGCAACTTTGTCAGTGTATGCGCTTGAAGTGGTGCTACCTTTGTTGTAAGCAGACGATCTAGACGTTAATTGCAAAACATTAAAAAAATATTTCTAATGAATATTGAACAATGAAATTTTTCATGTAGAGAAATTTGAAGTAACTATTGCAAGAGTTTTCCAGTGTTTCCACCACTTTCATGACACCTACCGTTATTGCTTGAGTAACAGCAATTGTCTAGAGTAACAATAAAATGTCTTAGAACCTTCGTATTCACCAAAAAGTGCCAGTTTCGAACTAGGTTCGTAAACATTCGTTTTCTGTTATCTTGAACTAGGCGGAAGTATGGATTAGCTTGTGGCGCCACCGCCGTAGGCATAGTACAGCTCTCTCAAATCATGCACTTGTTTTCAATTACTCACTGACACAAATACAAGTTTACCAATTCTGCCATTAGGCATTATCGGCACACAATAAAATTTATTGCTGTAACAATGTGGTCAAACCCATTTTTCTATGCTATAACTGCATAAAATCTTAGTGTTTTTAATGTTGGTGTAATCAGTGATATTTCCACTGTCAGGTGAGACTATATTCAACTATATTTAGTTTTTCTGAGCCAAAATACTCGCAATAGTCATTTTAAACCTATTTTAACTGAAAATATGCAAGGAACCTAGGGTCGCGTGTCCCTTTAAAGTTTAACCATCTCATAATTTAACATATATTTTCTACAGCGCATGCGATTCCCAGCGAATTTGAAATCCGCTTCGGAGACACCCCACGACTAGCACCGCAGTCTAGCGGCACTCACCGGTCAGCTGTAGCTGGTGCAGCTTGTGATAGACGAGCGCGGCGTCCTTGTACGAGTTCTGCAGGTCGGTGTACTTGCCGTCGCTGCGGCTCTGCCCGTGCCCGGCGAGGTGTGTCAGCATCTCAGCGATGTGCAGACGATGCAGCATCTGACGGAACGTGTTCCACACGAGACACGCGACCAGGTCCATCTTGGAGACGGGCAGCGGGCGGCCAGTCGTGTACAGACACGTCTTCAGCTGTTTGGCCGCCACGGCATAGTCGCCCTAGAGATCCAGAACCTTGTGTCTTAATTGGTGTTGGAGCTCTATCTGGTGCTATCTATCCGCTGGTTTCTATGGTAGCTCGCACCTCAGTCTGGGACTTATAACTTGAGTCAGACTGCCTGATTTTTATCGATATTATTATGGGTTAAATAGCAGAGATCAAAATTTCCAAAATCAAAACTGGCTAGGTTTTCCAAGACTGGTTCTACACACAGGTCTATGCCATTATGGTGCAAACCCTGTAAAGGAGTGATGCACAGGGATCAACTGACCCCTTGTCAGCCCCCCCTCCCCCCATAACAGCTTGCCATCACATGGTTACACTTGCAAACAAGCTGTGCAAAAAGTTGAAAGGTATAGAATATGTAGCCACACTTACTAGGAATCAAACTTCTACTCTAGGATGCAACTTCAACTGAGAATTGCAGCGACATTGACACATTACATTTAAAAACACAAGCGGCAACAATTCTCTTGGACGAAAACATGGCGGACATGAATTTTCCAAACCGAAAAAGAGGCTACGAAAAACCGAGCAGAATACCAATTGGCATTCAGTTAGTTTTCGGCTGTTCTTAGTGTAATATAACATCAGGAAGGGAGGTTGAACACTTACCCGTGCTAGGTCCACATCAGCCTGCTTGCGATGGCGCCAGAATTGGACGGAAGCCTTCGACATCGGCTTGGTGACAGGCTCTCCGTAGACCATGATACGTGTGAGCACGGCCGCCACGACAGCTATGTTCAGCATCCACAGCAAGAGGCTCGGGAAGATCCAATCAAACAGGTTCTGACCTAAAAATAGAAGACGGTCCATCGTAGGTTTTCTTATCCGAGCTGACAACATAAACCACAACAACCAGGGGCCGGATTCATCAATGTTGCGTAAAGTGTATTGCGTGCACACAGTTTCTACGAAGTACGTACGCAAAGCTCGTAGGCGCAATTCATCAACGCAGCATAGCACCTGCGTACGCAAATGTTGATGAATTCCAGTGTAAATCCACTATGCCATCGTAGCTGCTGGCTGTTGAGGGGCGTGCCTAGCATAAACCAATCACACTGTGCGACACATACCATAGGAACCAAACTGATGCCTCTCTTGTATGTAAACCATATGGCTCTAGCTCTGTTTACAGGAGTGCTGGGGGATGTGATAGTTGCCTCATTTTCGTTTGTATGATTGCGTTCAAGACTCATGAACGCAGCGACACGTACGCGTGCGTGCGTGCGTGCGTGTGCACGTACACGTGCGTGCGTGCGTGCGTGTGCACGTACACGTGCGTGCTTGC